AACTCCAAGTGTCAAGGGCAGGACTGTGTAGGGTATTCGTGGGAGCAAGTGATTCTCAGACCCAAATAGTTTCCAATTTTCAGTTTAGGGGGAAAGAATAAGAGAGACTTTTGGAAATGTATGTACTCCAAAGTTTATTTCTTCAACACAGGGCATCTCCCTCCCTCTCCTTTCTTCTCTGTATCTCACACACACACACACACACACGCGCGCACACACACACATACACAATACCCCACCCTCCCAAGTATCCAAATGTAGGCACACACACAAATATACAAGCTACAACAAAGTACACAAATACATAAACTACACATCATGGAAAAATCAGGTGGAAAAATCAGGAAAGGAAATCGCTCACCACTTAGAAGCTGACTCTGGTGTATGCATACCTTCCAGAACATGCATATGTACACACACACAGAGACTGAAGCGGGTATACACACCTGCATGGGAAACAACATATGTTTGAACACACTGTGCCCACACAAAGAAACAAGTGACATGTTTTCAAGGACACCTCACTACTCACAGACATGGTTATTACCACATCTGGCCTATAAGAGGATGGACATTAATGCAAGCAAAACAGAAGCATCAAAACACTTTCTAATGTTGGCTGTGGTTCTCAGCTGCCCCCACAGTTGCCCTCCCCAGGCTCCTTTAAGGTTCTGAAGATTAAACAGTTGGTAGCCAACTTTATATACGTGCCCGTAAACAAGAGGGCTCAGCTTTAAATAATTATGTCAAAGAAATGACAGCTATGCTCTTTGCCAGAACAGGGATGAATAATTACAAAGTCAGGACATAATTAAGCAATTCTGACTGTTGGATTTTTGAGCTGTCTCTCTGATGTGCAGGGCTGGCATGCCCACCACAAGCGTCCTCCTGGAGAGGCCTCTGCACCCCTTTGATCTATGTTTCCCAGTGCAGTGAGGGGCTTAACATTCTGGTTACTAGAAGGCTCTTTCTCTGGGGGCCTGAACCTTCTGTGTGTCCAGTGTGGTGTTCTCTGTATTAACAATGGCATGATTCAATGGCCAATATTTGATAAAGTTATATATATATATATATTTGAATTTTGGGAAATGACAAAGCCTAGCTGTTGCGGGTCCATCAACTAATAACACACACACACACACACACACACACACACACACACACAGAGGAAGTCTGGAAGCATCCATTGTAGCATCAGCGATCACTTCCTAATGAATGACAGCATCTTTCTCTACAACAATCAGAGCTCAGACAGAAAGCAGCTTTGAAACAACAAAAGCTAAAAGGCAGCCACGGAGAAGAAATGTGTCATCATGGGAGAAAGGGAGCAAGGACTTGCACTGAAGCGCCAGCGCCTGCCAGGTACCCAATCAGACCTCTGCAACATCAGGCCTTTATTATCTCCTGCATGGTTCTGCATCTGCGTCAGCTGACAGCACCCAGACTGTCCGTTCCCTACCTCCAAGGCAAGGGCTGTGATTGGAGAGGCACTTTCCATTCTCCCAAATTCTTTATGTCAGGAATAAAATGAAAATAGCTCCCCAAATCACGGCCCCCTTGATCATCCATCAGAGCATTCTGCTGAATAAGCACAACAGGCCTTGGCTGCTCTGGAAAGGACAGAAGCCAGCTTGAGATTCCGATTCCATCAAGAAAAATAGGTTTTCCCTGAATGTGCTCAGCACAGCGGCAGCAACACATGGAAAGGAAATCACTCGTCTCTTAGAAGCTGACTCTGGTGAACACGTACCTCTCAGAACATGCATATGTATATATACACAGAGACGGAAACGGGTATACACACCTGCATGGGAACAAACATATGTCTATACACACTGTGAACAGGTGAGAACCAGCCTTTTTAATGCCAATTTATTAATTCAGCCAGGAGCTCATCTGGCCTCTTTCTTTCTACGAGAAAAGTACCACTGCCTATCTCTGAAAATAACAGACAAAAGGGAACTAACTGCCTGCCATTCAATGTAGGCATCCAGTTCGATATGAAACCAAGAACACAGAAGAATCGTCCTGAGCACTTGAAGAATCGTGGCATAAATTGAACACTTAACCGGAAGCCCAGACCCCCAGGGGTTCTGGTCCCAATTCCATGGAGCCTCAGGAAACTGCACCCTCTCCCAGCTCCCTCACCCATGAAATGAGAGCACAGACTAGGTGATTTCTAAGTCCTCTTTGGTTTGGAAATCGTGTGACTACAGAACAAGAACCAAATCACCGTACTTTGTAAGAGCACTATGTCTCTCTCCTCAAATAATTAACAGGTCTTTTTTTAAACTTTTGTTTTAGTTTTGAGGGTAAATAAGCAGGTTGGTTATATAGGTAAACTTGTGTCATGGGGGTTTGTTGTAGAGATTATTTCATACCCAGGTACCAAGCCTAGTACCCAATAGCTTTTTTTTCTGCTCCTCTCCCTCCTTCCAACCTTCACCCTCAAAGAGGCCTCCATGTCTCTCGTTCCCTTCTTTGTGTTCATGAGTTCTCATCATTTAGCTCCCACCTGTAAGTGAGAATATGTGGTATTTGTTTTTCTGTTCCTGCATTAGTTTGCTAAGAATAATGGCCTCCAGCTCCATCCATGTCCCCATAAAAGATATAATCTCATTCTTTTTTATGGCTGCATAGTATTCTATAGTGTATACGTATCACATTTTCTTTATCCGATCTGTCACTGATGGGCATTTAAGTTGATTCCATATCTTTGCTATTGTGAATAGTGCTGCTGTGAATATCCACACGTATGTGTCTTTATGATAGAATGATTTATATTCCTTGGAGTATATACCCAGTAATGGGATTGCTAGGTCAAATGGTAGTTCTGTTTCTAGCTCTCTGAGGAATTGCCATACTGCTTTCCACAATGGTTGAACTAATTTACACTCTGAACAGGCTTTTTAAAGCTTAATACAGTTAGTAAGGATATTGGAGTCAATCATATAAACATGAACTAATTCTAGAATTGATTAGAAACTAATTGGGAACTCTGAAGGGCATTTCTGCTGATGTTGCTAATGACTCAGAAATAGCTAATGCTGGATTTTAAGGAGCCAGTCTCAGATGCTTTCAAAAGCAAGGAAGGATTTCGATTCCCCCCACCTCTACTCAACAGAATAGTCCTGCTCTTACCTGTTTTCTTCATTTAGACCTTAGGAGATCCACAGGGTAAATATTTAGCTCACTGCTCCAGGGGTGAGAAAGCAGAGAGAAAAGAGTGTGGACCCAGTTGTCAGACACAAGGTAAACCTCCAGCTGCATAATTACTAGCCAGGTGACCTGGGGCAGCCCAGTTAACTTCTCCAGCCCTGAGTTCCCTCACCCATAAAGCGAGCCAATGACCCCTTCCTTCTACTTTAGAGGATGATGTGAAAACTTGTAAATCTATGCACCAAGAACCTTAGAAGAATGGGGGGGGGGCAGGCATTGAGTGCCCCGTCCAGATATGGAGGATACTACATTTATTACCCCTTCAGATTTTGTGTGACAACATCAAAACCAATGAGCACAGGAGAAATACTGATCTACCCTGCACACAGGTATACACATGTATACAGATGTATACAAGAAGATGAGATATGTAGGGTGGACAGGTTATTTATAATAACCCAGGATATTATAGAGTTCATTTGTTGTACTTTTGCTTGGCTTGGTCGTGCTGGCTATCTCTGAACTGTTTTCACCAAAAACAAACAAAAAGAAGGCCAAGAAATAAATTATTTCATTTGGAAAAATTACAAAACCTAGAACAACTACAGGCAGTCGTGTGCAATACATCAAACCTGTGCCTCGATAAGGAGCACTGTTAACACTTTAATAGCTATGAAATGAATCACTCAATTAATTTCCCACATGCTGAAAGAGGTAACAATACATTTATCTGCCAGTAATATACACTCCATATCATATATTTCCACAACTGCTAGCAATTTTATTCAGCATAATGGAAAATAAGTTGCACCTCATGGATTCAGGGAAAGAAAGTGGCCTGAGGTCTGCTGCCAGCAGAGCAACTTGATGGAAGATGTTTCATTGTTCTGTTTTGTTTTTGTTTTTTCTTTCCCCCCTTTAATCACTTCCAATGCATGTGCAGAGTGCTGTAAGTCAATAGCTGAGGATAAACTAGACTTCTAGGATATCAGTGCCAGCGTTTTCAACACACAAGCTGCAATCTCATGGGAGGTCACACACAGCTCCACAGAGCTTCAAGGCAGGTTCTCCAAGGAGGTCATCAGGGGTCATTGAGTCCATTCCCCAGCCTCTGGCTTCACTGAAGGACTCCCAACTCCTCCCAAAGAGACAGTCATTCATGTCGTTAAAAACTCTCCTTGTGTCTGAATCCAAGACCCCAAGCCAAATCTCCACTGCCTCATCAGAGCTGCCATTAGAATGACACCAAATTCACTTACAGACTCAGCTGGTAAAGGAGAGGTCAGTAAACACCATTCTAATCAGCTCTGGAGAGATACACGTGGGGGGCACATGCCAGCCTAGGGACACATTGTCAGAAAACATCGCCTTCCACACTAACGATATCTCAGAGAGCTGTGGAGCCCTTACCTGTGATGGAAGAAAATCACTCTTCCCCAGCTTCCCTTTGGGAGCAAACAAGAAAGGCCCCGTCTGAAGTACTGGAAGAATCCCACCTACCCCAGAAGCCCACTCATGCCCAGTGCTTTCCTTTTTCTCCTTTCTCAGCTGCAAACCTGCAGAGGCCCCACTTAGTGAATATCTTCAAGAAGGAGACCTGCAGTCCCCTACAGAACTTCACCATTGGGCTATGTATAGTACTGCTTTATTGGTAAAACAGGAAGATCCAATTTACACCTAATCCTATTTCAAGTTTGGCTAACAATGTATCCATGGAGGGATTCTTCATGTGAGATCCCAACTGCATTCTAAACACTCGGAGGACATTCTCCATGCCCTGGGGTGTAAGCACTGCCATGAGATGTAAATCCCTTGTGAAGAACAGCGAGTAGGCAGCTCACCTTGGGCTTCACCACCTTCATGAAGGCTCCTCTGACCAACGCCTCCTCTCGTTCTTGTCTGGTTACTTTCTGGGCATCCAGAAATTTCAAGTTGGGCAGCTTGTACAGAACAAAGCATCTGGAAGACAAGAGTCAGAGACAACTCAGGAAGGTTTGTGTGGCAGCCTCAGAGATCCGGACAGCTTGTCTGATCTTTAAGAATCCACACCATCCAGTCTTCCAGAACTTAGACTTTGGCTGCTCCTCCTCTCTTCTTTCACAAAGAATAAACAATTGCTCCTTGGAGAAGTCAGAATGGTTCTATCTTACATAGATGCACAACTAAACATTAGAAGCACACACTAATGGTACACTAGGCTCAAAGGTAAACACACACACACGTGGGTTATCCAGTAGCACCCTATCAACATATTCCCTTCCTTTCAGTCTGGAAAACAGGCTCAGCTTCTTGGCTACATAGAAGTTCTCAGTAAAATAAACCTATAAATTAATTGTACCCTTTACGTCACTGCCATTCCTATGGGTTATCTGTATCATAGACTGTAATGACCTGGATGACTGTGGGTTACAAGTGAGGAACACATGTAGCTGAGAAATGCTTCCTTGAGAAATCAGGCAGGGGTCTTAATAACTTTTTTGCATCATCCATCGATAATACATGTGGTTATTTCCATACTCTATCCTATGAAGATTATCAAGTAGAAATAGGGGAGTTAATTTTTAGGAGATACTAATGGCCCAACAAATGCTAGGTGCTCTCCATTTCCCTGGAAAAAATCTTTGGCATACATACGGACTCCAGAAATAAGCCAATGACTGCTAGTGTAATTAACTATCCTCAAATAGGTATATATGGAGTTGACAAGAATAACCACTTGGCCAGGGTATAGTTATATAAATGCACAAATAAATGTATAACAGGTATGGATATGTGTCTATACCTCTCCCTCATCAGGGACAGTCACTAACCAAGATGCTTTCCATCAGGTTCCATAGTCCATCAATCAAACAAGTGAATTGTTTCCACCCCACTCTGCTTATCAAGAGGTGAGCACCCAGTGTTAAGAGCAATGGGTTATCTCCAAGGGAATCTGTCATTTCCTTCCTACACCCAGCCTCCTCAGCATATACTCATCTTTCAAGCCTCATCTCCTATGAAGGTTTTTTTGTATACCTCCACCCTACATTGCTTTCTCCCTTCTCAGGACTCCTAGAATATGCTATCAGCACCTTACAGGCTAACATTTTGTTGTTTTCTAATTATTTTCTTGGTGTTCATTAATGTCCTTACCCAAACTATAAGCTTCTTGAAGGTAGGGACAAATTTCTTTGCTCACTCTCACCACATCTTGAAAACTGGCATTAGAATGGAGTCAATAACATACTAGCTTATTTCAGTTGCACAGCTATTTCTTGATCACCTACTATGCTGGGCCTTAGGGATACAGATGTGATTACAACATGCTTCCTGCTCTCAAAGGTGTTCTCTGTGTAACAGAAATTATACACTCACATGGAGAAATTAGGAATCGGCATAGCTAAGTGCCAAGACTGAGGTTATGCATAGAGTGGTTATGGGAGCACAGAGAAAGGGGTCTACTGACTGAAAACTCAATGGAAAAGGAGAAATAGGAAATCTCAAATGGGCATCAAGGAACCACACCTTAAAGCAACCTCAAGCACCTAGCTTTTCCTTAATGAGGATATTACTTGGAACAGCGTGACTCACCTTCACTGGAGCCTTGGGATTCCAAGGCCACCTTCCACATTCATAAAGTGGTCTCTTTATTGGTGGCAGTAGCAGCCCATCTGGAGCAATTGCTGCAAATACACCAGCTGCAGTAGGGGCCGTTTGCTCTGCGGAGCTGGCAGGAGCCAGAAACAGGCGGGAAACCCAAGCTCTCCTGAGTTGATGGGGCAGGAGCCCCTGCTCCCATGTGCAACTGCAGCTGCCCACTCCAATTTCGGAGCAAAGTTGTGGCCAAGCCCAGGCACTGTCACAAGCTGGCTGGGTGTGTACATGCTTGGAGCAGTACTGAAACACCAGCTCCCTGACACCTTGGCCCCCTCTGGACTTTGGGTGCTGATGTGCACAGCAAGGAGGCCAAGGGGCAGCTGAGGAGAACTCAGCATGGGCCTGCAGGCATCCCTTGGCACAAACAGCCTAGGTGCCATGGGCACTGTAGTCAGCAGGTTGATGGCTGGCAGCACGAGGCAGACAGGCTCCTAGGTGGAAAGGGGCGTGTCTCTGGTGAAACCCCACCATCAGGCCAGGGGTGGCCTAAAGCATAGGGGCTGGGCTGCCAGTTTCACAAATTGGAGTGAGAACTTAAGGTACTTTTTCTGGGCCCTGCCATGGCCACCCATGGACCAATCAGCATGCACTTCCTTTCCTCTGAAGCCCATAAAAACCCCAGACTCAGCCAGACTCAGGCAGATGATGGAACAACCTGCCTCTGGAAAGGCGCTACCCACTTTGGGTCTCCTCTCTGCTGAGGGCTGCACAGACACTGAGATGACCTGCCTGCAGAAAGGAGCTACTCACTTTAGTTGTACTGAGAGCTGTACTACTGCTTAATAAAGCACCTCTTTGCCTTGCTCGCCCTCCAGTTGTGTGCATACTTCATTCTTCCTGGATCTGGGACAAGAACTCGGGACCCACCAAATAGTAGGACTGAAAGAGCTGTAACACAAACAGGGCTGAAACATGACCCCCTGCTGGCCACATTGTGGGTGATGAGACAGAGAGAAGAGCTGTGGCCCTTTGGGGAGCCCAGACCTAAGAGCTACCCAAGCCAAGGCTGTGACACCCTCTTTGGGGCTCTGTGGTTCCTGTCATCTTCAAGCTTCCAGGTGCCACCACATTCCCCCGTGCCTGCAGTGGAAGCCGGTTGTGGTATGCCTGGTCCAGATGTAGCCTCCCAGGGACCTGGTGCCCACGCCAGTGCCTGGAACTGCCCAACCCACTGCTGCCGGCATGCCTGGCTGTGTGCAGTGGCCAGACCCTGTGCTTGCTTGCTCATGTACCCCTCACAGCTCCACACCTGGCTCACTCTTGGCAGCCATGGGATCTGAACCGGTAGCACGAGCCAAGTGCAGCCCGCCAGGCTGAGTAGGTGGAACAAGCCCAGCAGGCCCAAGCAAAGCTCAGGCAAAGGCACCACCAGCCACAGAGGTTTCCAGCTGAGGAAGCAACACCCCAAGGATGCAGTGACATTATCACCAAGTGGCCTGCATATGCTTATCCAGGTAAAAGACTTGGCTGACCACCCCAAAGCCAGAGAGAATAGTTTAGAGGTCTGCAGGAATAACCTTCACAGGACTCATTGTTAAGGTCAAAACTCATTGTTAAGGTCAAAATATTATGAAATTCTTTTCTTCCTTCAGAAATGTCCACCCCATGCCTGATGTCCTGGAAATTTGACTCTGGCTACTTCCTGTTTCCTCCCTGGCCTCAATCTATTGTCCTCTTTCCTACCCTGGGTTCTCCCTTCCCTCTCCAAATACCTGCTAACTGCACCCAAAATCAAGAAAGTGCCACCAAATGCCCAAATATATTTTCTTTTCTTTTCTTTTTTTTTTTTTTTTGAGATGGAGTCTTGCTCTGTTGCCCAGGCTGGAGAGCAGTGGCATGATCTCTGCTCACTGCAACCTCTGCCTCCCAGGTTCAAGCAATTCCCCTGTCTCAGCCTCCCAAGTAGCTGGGACTACATGTGTGTGCCACTGCTCCTGGCTAATTTTTGTATTTTTAGTAGACAGGATTTCACCATGTTGGCCAGGCTGGACTCAAACTCCTGACCTCAAATGATCCACCTGCTGGGATTACAGGCATGAGCCACCACCAAATATCTTTTCTATCCTCCAGTAGAGCTCCCACCGGCCTCAGTCAACGTCAGAGAAAACTTCCATCTTCTGCTTGTAGCAGAAAAGTCTTGATGACAACAGACTCTTTCAAATAAAGACATGTACAGACAGAAACAATATGTCAGGAGTGACGCGCAGGGAGTAAAGACACCCACTAAGTGTAGGGTGGGAAAAGATGAATATTCAGGTGAAGAAAACATCAGTATTAGAAAATCAGCCAATGTTTAACGATGGAGTGAAAGATGCCTTCACGGGGCTGGCAGGAACCACGATGACAACAGACCGCACATTGTCATTTTGTCTCACTTTGGATCACAGCCCTGAAATCAAAGGAGAAAGAGAGAGAGAGAGGTGCTGGCTTTTAAGCTAGTTAAAAATTTTAGATGACAAAGAGCTGCTGTTTTCAGATCACTCTTCTTATACAATCAAAGAGACAGCCCATGACACAGGCTGCCAGTCACCCCCTGAAATAAGGGATGACTTGGCACCCATCCCGAGGGCCAGCCTGAGTTTCCAAGTGGATGCTGCTTGGAGAGGTCTGAGGGACACTAGGAGGACTTGCCCCAAATAGTTCCATCTGAGATTCAGCCCAGGGTCCAAAGTTCCTTCACAGAGGTGTCTTCTTTCATTTACTTACTCACACATTCACTCGTTCAACAAGTAATTATGGAACAGCTACTGTGTGTCAGGACCTGAGTCAGGTGCCAACATGAGATAAGCAATACGGAAGATCTGTGCTCTTTCAGTGAGCTTCTATTCTTGCACAGTGGTTCTCAAACGTCAGTGGGCATCAGTATTTCCTGGAGACTTTCCAACACACAGACGGCAGGGACCCATCCCCAGAGTTTCTGATTCAGTATTTCTGGAACTGGGCCTGAAATGTACATTTCTAATATGTCCCCAGGTGACGCTGATGCTGCTGGTCCTGCTGAGAACCAATGTCCTCGTGAAAATAACACCAAGAGGAATAATAACTTTGAAATTAGGAGGGTGGTGAGGCAGCAGTAAGAGTCTCCTTCCAGTTCTGCTAAGGCCTGCCCTGCCCCAATGCCTGCAGTACACAGAGCCCAGCCAGTGGCCATGTCTGCCAGATCTTCTTGCTCCTTGATGGCTTGGAACTGGCTCCAAACATTAATGCCAAGTGATAAGTCAGTGGGCTTCCTGCCTGCCTGTCCTTTCGTGGTCCTGGGAGATCTATTTCCCTTTGTTCTAGGTCATGTCAGGGTGTCAAAAGCCACAGCTTCAATCCTGAGT